GATCGATCTCGGAAGCCTTGGTCATGGCACACATCTCCACTCTCTCTTGATGGAAGAAATCCAAACTTCCCCGGTCCATCGAGCCCGAGAATCAACCGAAACAACTTGTGGATACTCTTTCTCGAACTCACTAAAATTGCTCGTGCATATGAAAGTATTGTACTGAGATAATTCATGGCCTTGATTGACATGAGTCTCACGAACAACTTGTTGTGCAGCGGCAATTTGTCTCGCCATTTCCTCAACGATGAGGGGATCGTCTCCATAAACAATTATATCTGATACCATGGCAGATTTTGCTGCTTGGATGTGAAAGTTTCGTACTGAGAATCCGTCCTTTGGATCGACTTCTTGAAATTGTGTCGTGGATCCAAATTTCAGGAATTCGTCAGGAGTGATGGCACCTTTCAGCCTCGAACAAGTCAAATCTCCACCGGCTTTCACAATTGTTATACCTCGAATACATTTCGGCGTTCTTCGCAAAGTTCGACGCCTTTGTATGAAAAATGCCTGCTGGACATGATTGCAAGGATGCAGGCCATGAAACCAGGGAAAGACCTGAGAAGGATCAGGCAGAGGTTGTGATGCCAAATGTTCCAAAGCAGCGGTTACACCCGCGGCATCAATCTCATATATGATAGAAGAGTCAACGTAACGTGATTTATAATTGACCGGCGGGTATAGAAGTGATCGTTGAGGCAGAGAAAGTTCTTTGGTTGGGGGAGAGTGAGGAGGGGTATCTGGTTTCTCCGCTGGTGCTGGACCCGTCGGGCACACTGGCAGATGCTTATTTGGGATAGGAATTGGAAATGGCGGCGATGCATTGATGGAATCGAGGCTTAGTGTGGGAGTCAAAGGGTGCGAGTGGGGTGGTGAAGATGATCTCGAATGTCCCGCGGGAATAGGTCTAGGTAAGGCAATTGTCGCCATTATTGAGTTGAAGCAATCTTGTAATGATTTTTGGTCGAGGTTCAACATGTGAGAAGGTATTTTGGAGTTATGTCGCAAAGCACAACCCTTTCCCCAAAATCAGTTGTCGAGGAATGTTTGTTAATATTGTTATTGTTTGGTTGGGGTCGTGTGAGTCTTGTATTTCATTCAATTGAGAGATAAGGCTGATATTGTTTTGACGAATTCGAGTATCTGCGATTGGAGGTACAGTATGAAGGGAATCTAATCATGGTCAATAATGAATTATTCTTTGAATCATATGGCAGGTATTGGTCGAGCGAAGTAAGTTTTTGGAAGAGCAAAAGGGAGTAAGGAATAAATTAGCAAACATACGAAGAATTCAAATCAGTCAATTCAGTCCAAACCAATTCAATCCAAGCCGCTTCGATCCAAGTCAAATCAATCCAATCCAATATGAGACAAGTTCCCATCGAGATTGCAAAATAGCCTTATCGCAGAGCTTAAGTCAAAAGCGGATAGATAAGCACAGCATCAATAGTCTGGGGATAGTACCACTTTTTTTAATATCGTTCCATTAAATATCAAATACGTATACGCACACGCACACGCACATGCAGAAAAAGGAAGGAATAAGTAGCAGATAGAATTGATCTGATATTCGTAAAGGTTGATGATTTTTTTTGGTCGAAGAATGTAATGATTGAGATTGAGATTGAGATTGTAATTAATGAAATTGATTGTAAAATCTCCCACTTGAAGTAGGAGCGAGAAGTGGGAAAGAGGAAGAACAAAGAAAAATATTGCGGGAGATTATCATTGGAGGTTCAATCCCAAGCAAGATATTGGTCTCTGGTCAAAAAGCAAGTAAAAGGTAATTAATAAATTTACGGCTAAGGATTCAAAGGAAAGGAAAGAAAAAATGAAGAAGAAGGGATAAGAAGGGAAAAGGAAATCAAAGGCGAAACAATAAAATTGTACACATTTGTATAATAAGGTCAAGCAAGTATCTACTCAATATGATCTAGATAATACAGTGTAGGTTACAAAGTGAGAAACTTCTATAAACATAATCTTCTCTCAAAACCCTCCAAGATAAAATACATCTTGATGAATGAAGTTAATACATGAGATAGTACTGGTGAATTGGACACCTTCCCCTTCTTCCCTTGATATATTTTGAGCTATTTTGGCTAGAAAGCACCAGTAATGTTCAATCCTGCAAATTACATTTCAAACAACTAGAATGGCCTCCTTCTCTGCTTTTCTACTCTTCTACCTCTTGTATTCTTTTACTTTCTATTCCTCTACTCTCCTAATCTTCTTCAATTTCTTCCCTCTCTTCCGACTCTTATATCCTATATCGATCTATCCTGTGCAGAATAGTCTTATCTTTTTTATATCTTTGCATTTCTTTATCTATCCTCATCCTCCTTATTCATTTCATTTATCCCTTCTTTTCCATCCTCCCCTTCTCTTGACCTCTCACATCCAATATACACTCCGGGTGTGAATAAACGGTTTCTTGCATCAGCAATAATAAGCACATCTCTCGCATAGAGTCACATCTGATATCGAATTCGCCAATGATAATTCAAGGTGGCGCCCTCGCGTCTCAAGAAACTGCAGCTCAATGGACATGCACCAATCTGTTTGAACTTCAGACCTCCATCATCATGACGCTAAGAGAGCTAAGAAAGCTAAGAATACTAAAACAGAAGCACTCCCAAACGCTAAAGTAGAAGCTAAGGTCGGGGAATTGAAAAAAAAAGCATTGAACCCAATCAAGGGAGATATATAAGTGGAGAAGTGGGGAGGCATCTACTAAAGTAAAACTACTTTTGGAATAGATCAATTTCATGTGACGAGCGCTCTTTCAATCCTTGATCTCGATCTTACAGAGTATTTCACTCTGCTCTATCAAACATTATTGAAGCAATAGAAGAAAGAAATGCAAACATTAATTGAGACCTTTGGATTTATCTCTACCATCAGAGAATCATCCGGCTGAGAATAGGGAAGACGTAAAAGACAAGACAATATGCTGATGACGATGACCACTACTACTAACATTTCCTGTTGTGTCGTGTTCAATTACGGAGCATATGCCGGTACCTAGATCTTCTCATATCTCCGTCTACCTAGTATTTATTTTACGTGTTCAAATTCCCCTTCTCACTGCTCTCGACTTTAACGACTTCGTTGTGAGTGACCTCGGACTTTCAAGTGCTCTTCTTCCATTAGGGCGGAGCGAAAAAGCCTCCACGGCAGTGGCCAAGCGGAGCGTCACTATATCCATCACTTGTATTTATATTTAATTTTATTTTTTGCTTCATCATCAATTCGGAGAATATGTTATGTTCAAACTTCATACACTTCACGGGAAGCCTTCCCCTCTCACACACCCCGCCATGGCCCATGATAAGTTATATGTAACGGCCTTACCTTACCGAGCTGTATCTAAAATCCAAGGGTGGAAACTGTAGGGAGTAGCCTACTACTGGCTCCTTGTCGTGGGCCTGGCGGACGGGCGGGCAGGCGGATAGACAACTGGTCCAAATGTCTGTGCTTTTTTATGCACGAGCCAATCAATGCATGCACGAGCCATTGATGGGAAACCACAGCGCATCCGTCATCACATCACATCACATCGCATCACATGATCCCCACCAACAACACCCCACATAGAAAGTGACACATCTTCCGAGAGACTCAATCAAGAGGACAATTACTGGAAACTGATACTGATACTGATTCTGATTCTGTACATTTCCAATCAAATCTTATCAAAATTCATCGCCTTCATCAATCCAACCATCCAATCAATATCATCAATCGATGCTTTCTTTTCATCTTCTCTATCCTTCTCCTCATCTCATTTGATTACTCTATTTCAAATTCATACGTATCGATTGGCATATGCAGTGCATACATCTTGGACAATCTCAAGTGAAGTTGACCGGGAAACCATGTTACAATTTCATAATCGAAAGGAGGCCAGGATCACCGTCGGTACATGGAAAACTCCGTAGCGAGTCTAGAACTCGAATATTCAACCTTCTTCCCACTTCCCCGACCTCGATTTACTGATTGTACTTTTGGGTGCTGTACATCTCTTTAGGTTCTTGGGGAGTGAAAGACTCATAAAATGATAGATGTGAATAATCCGTTCTCAAAATGTCGAAGCAGTCCCTTGCAACTTTCTTCGCTTGTAATTTTCTGATTGATTCAATTTCAACCAACGAGGCGACTGCAAGCTGTTTAGAATAACAGTTTATTCTTCATTGTTCGAGATAGCATGTCTTCGCCTCTACCCTACTTCCAAGTCACCAATGACAATCAAATTGTTTCCAATCACCTCAAATTCATTTTCCACCTTGAAAATAGAATTTCGTGTGAAGAATTGAGAGTACTTCGAGCTCAAGCTATCCTTTTAGACTATTTTTAATTGCACCTTTATCCAGCATCGAGACCAAAAGCCAGCTAGAGACGGGGACGCAATTGTTAAGGCGCATTTCTTTGTCCGTCATTCAAGAGAGTCTAACGTCCTTTAAATTTTCGGCCATTGCAATAAAGAGATGAGAAACCAAATAATTCATTTTCGATGATTTGCATTCTAAGTTTTGGGGGTTTACCATGAAACAGTAGTCAAATTTCGTAGTTAAATCTTTCAACAGTGCCAAATATGCAGCCGTCGCCACGGAAAAGACCCCATCCTAGATATGCAGGGCCTACGCGCTTTGCTAAAAAGTATGGACATCCTGAAGGAGGCATTCATTCCGAACTGGAAAATTATCTGCCCGAAGTAAAAAGTGGCCTCACACCAGTAACTCCAGCACAATTCTTAGACAACCAGGACCAGCGAGATGTTGCAAAAAATCTGGAGTTATATCAAAGGATGAGGTTCCGTGGTAGGCTTTTCTCCAATGGACTTTCCCAGCTGCTGATGCTGTTAAAAGGTTTCACCGCCGCTGAGCTGGAATCAGTTCTAGCTTTGGCAGATTGTTACGAAACTACAAGTCGACGAATAAATTATGGAAATAATCTTGACAATGTACCCATCCATCCCATGTGGGCACGGGAAAACTGGCAATATGACCTGCCGAGACATATTGCTAGATACCCATTTGGAGATGGTAACGAATATTGGGAGGCAAGTGATTCACCATGTACAAATGCTGATGTGATACTTACTACGCATATTAGGCCAAGAATGACGCGTGAGTATACTCTGTCTTTGAATTTGCCGTCTTGGTACAAAACCATCCGTGTGCGTTACGGTGTTGCTAAAATATCAGTTTCCAGTGCGTGGCGTGCGATGGAGCCAGCCTTGAAGCTTGCTTCCAGTGTCATTGCAAATATACATACCTGGGAATGGTATGTTTCTTGGTCGATATGTTTCCGTTCCATTTCGCTAATGACAAAGGTTTAACTCGCTACTAAAAGGTCCATGGGAAAGAGTTTCGCCAAAAGACCTTCCGCCCGACTACCCATTAAATGTAACGAGATTTTTCTCAAAAGAGGACAGAAAGGATAGAGAACTTAAATCAGACATTCGAGATTTTTTCCAAAAATTATCAAAGTATACTTATTTTGCACTTTCTGGAGGCAAGGTATGTGATCGGTCCACAAATTCTACCCTCCGCCTCAATCCCCTTCCCCGAGCTAAAGCCTCGCTTCTTGTTTTATCAATCCTTTTGTTCTTCCAAATAAAGCTTTGCCTCTTGGTCTTTTTCCCGAACACTTCCTTGGTGGACGATAACTGACGCTTACGTCTGGCGCAAGTGCACTCCTAGGGGAATGCCTCAAGCGTCCAATTTTACGTGTGGGCACACGGCGTGGTACCCTCGTCGAGCCATGCCAAGCAGTTCGGTCGTTCCCAATGCTACACTTGTTACCATCGCCTATGATTTGGTCGAGTCCTTGTTGAACCCAACAGCCTTACCAGAGGACAGAGCCTTGGACACGTTTCGCTTGGCAGAAAATATTCTTCACGAGACAGCCGTAGGCTACATTCTAGCCCATTATTGGCCGTCAATTAACTTAAACAGCACGCTATGTGCCATTACATGACAAGAAAGAGTAAAGATGCTCATGACTGGGCCTGGATTGAGCCATACTTTGAGAATGAGCCTATTCCGGAACTGCAAATCAACTGACATTATTGATTGATCGAGAAGCTAATCAACAAGTAGTGGATTTTCTGCAACAAATCAGGTATGTCTATGGAACTAAGCCCTTTTAGTACCGTCGAGTTTGTAAACATTGATACTTTGTACGTGTTTAGTGGTATCGCGACACCGGTTGTTTCGCTTGATATATTAGGAGCCTCATCCGGGGGCCTCATCTTGTAATCAAGTCTACTAGTCTCCTAATATTCTACGTGACCTAAATCTGACATCACTGTAGTTATAATTGGTCTACTTACAAACATGAGCAATACTCGGAAGCACCCGTACTTTCTCCGGGCAAGCAGAAGGATTGGGAGAATATAATATATTATCCGATTCCTGTTTCCTATTTCATGAGCCTTCAATCTCGAGAATTTTGGGACGTTCACGTGAGAAAGTATGGTTCTAAGGCCGCTCATGCGGGCCCAAGATAATTGGTATATGCAAACCAAAATCAAATCCTGGTGGGCCAGGGACAAATATCCGTCTCAGACACGCCATTCCCGCTTCAGATATAAAGAGTCCTTCGCTCTTTTCACGAACAAAAACCAAGATCGCTCATTCGTTTGATGCCGAGAAACAAAGAATGATTGCAATAATTTCGGAAGCAGCAAAAGGTGTCAAGCCGGAAGTGATGTAACCAGTTCTAGCTAGTGGAGAATATGGCGGTCAAACATTTATAAGTCCTGGCACTAGAGCTGATCCCGTACAAATAGATTGCCCCAGATTCGATGAGATCAGATGGTATCTAGAAACAAACAAATTTACACTTGCTATACATACCATGGATTTCAACATGCCTGCACATTTGTTTAGGAGCTATATCGATCGTCATGGGGGGATTAGCCTCACAAATGTGGAATGGAAAATCTTTCTTCTTGTGGCAAACACAAGGAATGAACTGTTCTAGTATGATGTTCAACTTTTTTCATTCTTCAATTCTCTCAAGTTTGCTAATTGACAACAGTTACAGTCATTCCGGCTATGGGATAATACTAGTTAATCCTGCAGGCTGGATGCGGATACCACCACCACAGGCGACAACTTTACGGAAACACCCCCGACCAGAGGAGCAATTGACAGCAATTTTTGATATTATCTGCAGAATTTATTTAAATAATTTAGATCTTCAAACGGAAACTAAGGATACGGACACCGCATATTTCAAATTTTGTGTGAATAGTATATGGGAAACGGAAAGACGTCGACGAACCAATCCAAATATCCTGGATTATCCTGCAATGCTGGAGGGTTTTACCTGGGACCCAGCGGGAGATTAGCTACTCGATGCGTGTATTTATTACTCGGATCACTTTGTGGATGCCCCTATCGGTCAGGGAATTGCTAGAAGGGCAAATGTTCATGCACCGGATCCTCAGGCCCCAAAACGACAAAAGAATGCGCATGAACTTCTGACGGAGGGAGATCCTATGAGACTAGGATTTAAGGTACTGGTTGGGGAACCTCTAGCATGAGGACGGGATGAAGAGAATGAGCTCCTACCGCCGCCACTCCCGCGTTCCATGGAACGTCCTATTGAGGGCGGGTTCGGAGCAGCCAGGTCAAAAACTTCCTCTGGAACGGGAGTAGGAGTGGGACGTCAGCCAAACCACATTTACGAACCGCATAGATACCCGGATGCAAAAGGTAGTCAGCCTGCTTCACTCAATTGGAATGCTAGTTATCTTGATGAGACTAAACCATCTTTTGGAGAGCAACTTGGGGTGAGGAGAACCATCTAGAAAGGATGTGAAGCCGACCGGGACAACCGAAACCTATCGTCCGGGTGCTCAGCCTACGCAGACATATAAGCCGTATCGACCACCTAGCTGGGGTTAGATTGGTTTGGTTGGTTTGGTTGGTCGGACTGGGCTACTTCTAGCCTAGGTCACCTGTAGTAATACGCTTGTAGATAAAGGGGTCATAGAAAGGTTCTATTCTGTAAGGCTAGAAGAGCGGAGGGTATGTTTTGTCAAAGCTTGAGGTTAATTATATTCTCAATTAAACTTTGGGAGATATATTACATGTCAAGGTATATTATCAGTTATAATTGCTGTTCCGCGCATGTGCGAATCTAATAGTATTAGGAATATATACCGTGAATGCAAACGGGACTATGCAGCTGCCTTCTCCTATATTAACTAATCAACACACCATCCCCTTTTTATGTACAAGAAGTCATTTTAAAGGTTGATTTCTTCTCTTCAACTGTATTATGTTTATATCTGATAGTAATCTTACTTGGTAACAATATCTCTAGTTACATCACATCTCATGCAATCTAATCCATCTCACTCCGCACAGTCTTACTTTCTATTCTTCCCTTAACAACTATAATTTCTAAAGTAAATAGCCATGCTTCACGAACTCTAGGTTGAAACCCGAGTATTTGAACAATATTTTTAATCCCTTCTTTCTTTAACTGCGAATATATCTCAACTTTGATTCCGTCGAATATTTCCTCTTATATATCATGACCATATCTCATTTCAAGCGAGTGTTGGAAGTAGAAATTTTCCTCCCACCTAGCTATAGTGAAGCGTGTTGCATTTCTCCATATACATCCGACATGGGAATGTCGAATTCTATACTATTGATAATATTGTGTATAATATAGAATATGAAAATACTGAAATTCAATGTATTCCTTTCGAAAGACATAACATTGAAGCAATATTATTAATTATATTCTATTGAACTCGATAGGTTTCAACAGAATTGTAGATGAATATATTTATTTCGAAAGGATTTCATTGAGTTTCGGTATTCTCGTATATGCTCAATGAGATATCAAAAGGTATATACGTATTAGAGTATGTAGCATCATAATTTAAGTACCTAGTAGCATCAAGTGCTTCAATATCAGCTACAATAATACTAATCCACACTACTTTGATCACTGTTCTAGGTAGGCATACATAGTGGATACAAACACTTAATTTCTCAAGCAAGAAATAAAGTAAAAAGCGTTTAAAGATAATGCAAAATCCACATTCCTGAAGAATTTTTCGTCTTTTTTGTTTTCTACAAGTAGCACGGAAATCACTGTAAGGCTTAATAGGCGATGAATATACGATAAGCTTGAGGGTGTTGGAAGATCATATCTAGCCTGAGAATTGTGAAGTAACATTGCACAATCTCCATTATTATTCTCTCGCTGTGAGACCAGATTGTGAAGTCATAGTTATAATATATTACCCCTTGTCCTACCTCTGTCCTCCCTATCTCCTATATAATAGCCACACCCTGCATCTCCTTCACGGGAATATCGTCCTCCTTTTCACCCTCACTTTCCTCATCCAGATCCTCCAATGGGTACGTTAGAATCGCCGCAATACCTCCTAATCCCGCCAGCCTCTTTCCACTCTCATGATCACTGCTCAAAATCCTCGCCTCTCCTCCTTCCTCCTTAACCTTATCAACCAGCCTAACCCATCTTTTCCTGACTTGAATCTCCTGACTCCGAAATAGCTCATTATTTATCAACAAAACTCCACCCCCTCGTCCTACTGCTCCCTTCTCAACTGCCTTCTCTACTTCGGCTGGACCGTACCAGGCTCTTCCGTCATCTCTGCGGAGAAGTGTCATAAATTCATCCATGAAGCGGGTTTCGCGGGCATATTTGGTATCGCTGAGTTTGGCTAGCACTTCTTGACTTTTGAGAATTTCGTTTAGACTGTGAAGATGGCCGGAACTGCTGTGCACCACCACGAAATTCTTTTTATTGGCCAGTACCGCTTTGTTTCCCGTCCTAGATGCTTCATCTAGTATGTATTTCTGGAAACCTTGTGCTACGAACCCGGGACTCGCAAGTAGTAGTGGTCGTGGTTGAGTGATATCCACATGTCTTAGTAGCGTCTCGAGTGTTGTTTGGTAAAACCTTTGAATTCCATTATCGTGATCTCCCGCCATACCGTTTCTCTTCTTCGGTATTCCTGTTTCGACTCTCTGCTTGAGGATGGTTTGATGTTCGGTGATTAAACATATATTGGCCATTCCCTCCTGCATCACGACCGCAGGCACCACACCCTCTTTATCTTCCCGCACGGCTTCCTTCACAACATCTAGGGCGACGGAATCCCATCCATCATATTTTTCCAGTGTGAAATTTCGCTGCAGTTCGAGATCGAGAGTATGGAATGCGCCTACTTTGACCCACATATTTTCCTCGCATATGCGGCCTTTGACATGTAATTGACCGGCTTGCGGATCAAAATCTATCGCTGTTACACCAATGGATAATGTGAGGTGTACGCGCGTCGTGGATGTGCTTCCAGTACTGGATTCCTTGGAGACCTTTCGGATGGCAGTGGCGCGTAAAATGTCCGTAGGTGCTATGAGATTATAGGCGTGCCACTGTAATGCATTAGGATGAATGATTTAGATGCCACCATGAGTGATGTACAGACCATGTCTTCTGGTTCTTCTGGAAGAAGAGTGATGGTACCAGAGCCATCACGCTCGATATTTTGTTTAATGAGGCGCATAACTTTTGGGTCTGCAGATTTGATGTATTCAATACTATGGTACTTTCAAGTAGATTGTGTCGTGAAATTTGCAAATTTGTGATAGATTGTGTCGCAATGTTGGAAACATTTACTAGGTAATGTGAAGAAAGAGGTTTAAAATTATCTCTTAAGGCGAGGGCTAAATGATGTCGGGGTATTTGGTATGTGATGTGCAGCCAGTGTGGTACTAAAACTATTTTGAAGATTTGAATGTCTTATCAATATAAGGAATTTGAAGGTATTCAGAGATTTCCCATGAGTATATTTTTTTAACAAGACGCATGACGTAAACGATGCGGGATATCAATAACTAAGCTCACGTGACATGACCCTAGGACGCCGTGTGCAGATCTGGAGTCTGTCTGGAGATACAACATATATAATCACGAAAAGACATCGAATTGGTTCAAGATTGATTTCTAGAAATTTCTTATTCTCCTTCTTTTATCTTTACAAGTTAAATCCTCCGCATCATGAGATCTGCGTTAACATCGCATCTCAATATCATTACAAATCATCTTAATACAGCTATTAAACCTATTCATTCAAGGTCATTTATTGCCCCCTTCAAAAAGTACGTTCTGCGTGATGAGTACCTCTCTTGATATACCTTCTTTTTGCTTCCTTGCATTAAATGCCTTTTCAAACCCAAAGCGTATTGACATACTTACGTACAATTGGACTGTATTTCTGTTATCCCACTTGCAAATTCTCGAAGGATGAACTGTTACTGTACTCCTCTAGCTCCTACCCATTTTCTGATATTGTTCACCATGAGACTTTGGACCTAACTTTCAGTGCAGCATCAATATGTCGAAGTTCAACATTAATTCGAAACTTCGGATGAACTCAGGATATGAAATTCCTATCCTAGGCTATGGAGTCTATCAAACGTGGGGAAATATCCTACTGTCAAACTATGAGGTAAACTGATGTTAAACTTAGTCCAGCATCCCAATGCGAAGATCTAGTGGCCAAGGCTTTTGATGCAGGCTATCGACATGTAAGAAGAGTCTCAGAGAAAAGACGTGTGTCATTCCCTTAACATGGCGCAGGTCGATTCGGCGGCGGCATATCGAAATGAAGGTCCATGTGCTGCCGCCATACGAAGATCAAGTATTCCTCGTGAGGATATCTTCTTTACTAGCAAAATTCCACCTCGCTCCTTGAGCTACGAGAATACCAAAGCACAAGTTGCCAAAACACTGATGGAGACCGGGCTTGGATACATTGATCTCATGCTCATTCATGCTCCATACGGAGGACGAGCTGCTCGTAAAGGTGCTTGGAAGGCTCTCGTGGAGGCTCAGGAAGAAGGCAAGATCCGCAGTCTTGGTGTTAGTAATTACGGTGTCCATCATTTAGACGAAATGGAAGTTTATATGAAGGAGCTCGAGGAGGAGAGGGGCAAGGGCAGAGGTGGTGTGATTGATGTTGGCCAGTGGGAGCTCCACCCGGTAGGTTGTCATGCGATTCATTTTTCCTAAAATCCTGTACTCATGCTTTTTGGCCATGTTTACAACTCTCTGGTCAAGGATTGGAGCACCTTTCATTGCTTGGAGGCTAACTTCAAATTTAGTGGCTCGCTCGATCAGATATCATTTCGTGGTGCCAGCAGCGAGGCATTGTAGCAGAGGCGTACTCTCCTCTTATCCGTGGCGAGAGACATGACTCCAAACTTCTTCAACCACTCACCAAGAAGTACAACAAAACGCCCGCTCAAATCTTACTGAGATGGAGTTTACAAAAGGGTTTTGTCCCTTTGCCGAAAACTGTTACTCCCGGCAGAATTAAGGAAAACGCCGATATTTTTGATTTTGAGCTCACAGCAGAGGAAATGGAGGGGCTGGAAACCGGGGACTACTATTCTTGTACCTGGGATCCTACCGTTGCTACTCTGGAACAATAGACGCACAAATGTGATAATTCCTTGTGAATTTAGTACAGATGAGAGTTATTGCGGGGTGAATTCCAACATACACTATTATGTTACAACAGGATGTCTATCTAACCAATGTGCGGGTTTGTTCTTCTATCTGTCATGGCCATTTATGCACATCAGCAAGGTTTTGAAGAGGTTTGCATGCAGATTCTAGCGATGACGTTGCGAGTAGTGGAAACACTCCTTGAGTAGTTCTCTGGCATACCTTGAAATCACTACAACGTTCAAATATCGAGATTTCACATAATAGAAAGAAAGAAAGCACCTATCGCTCTTACAGTTCTTAGCATAGTAAAAAAGGCAACATGCAAAATGGTGTGTTATCCCCAACCCTTACATCAGCCCGCACAAGGCCCAGGGCTGTACTTGAAGACAAAACGCTGAGTTTATCGCGACCAGCAGTGAATCAAGTGCTTTACCAGAGTATATATTCTTTCTTAATCTATTTTATGATCCCGCTATTACACATAATAAGGATGAATTTTCCGCTTTTCTTATAGATATTTAAAACATTTAGTAGCCGGAGCGCTAGCCGAAGAGGGTCCCTTGGTATAACAATTTACAAGAAAGAAATTTGCCCGCTGGCGCACATACTTGATGCGCCGGAAGTCTTATTTCCCACGTTAGGTTTCCAGCTCGGCGTAACCCTAAAGTAAACGAGTGCCATTTAAGGAACCCGCTACCCTACAACTTCCGAAACAACATGTACCAAGACGATTTCACCTTCAAAACCCTACAATCTATCAAGAAAACTAGTAATTGCAAATTGTTCTATAAGTAAAAAGGATACGTATGACATGCAAGGTCTTTAAATACAATGAGTTGAAAGCACAGTACCGGGAAGCGGACAATGTGTACAGGGAGTACCACCACGAGAGATCAATCATTTGCAAGTGGTGCAGAGATGGTAGGGTATTCGAGTGCGGTGGATTCTCAAATGATGGTGGATTCATAGCCGAGGTTGATCTGGGGATCGGGCGGAGAAAAAGGATCGCGAAATAGTAGTGTTACCGGACCGAAAAAATAAGAGTAAGTATGTGGCACTAATGCGTAGCTTGATTAATACTGCGAGCATATTGGCAACTACGAGTACGAGTGGTAGAAGTGTAGCGGGAAGTATTTTGTCCTTTGGGACAAGTACAAGGACGACTGCAAGTGCCAGCGGTACAAAGCGTTGAAGCGCGGTTGCTGCGCAATTTAACAGTGAAGCTAAGGTTTTGAGAAAGTCGTGGTGGATGGTGGTATTGACGCTGAAATTCCGGTCGGGTGGCTAGAAATAGTCCATGAAGATGAGGGAGGTAAAGGATATGAATTCAAGCCATCGTTTCCTCTCTTTCCTCTTCTTCATTGCCCTTTCTCCAGCTTAAGAACATCCGATTAGCGATCTAAAGCTTCGCCGTGTAATCTCATCGCATTCTATCACGTACCATTAGTCCTAGATTGTGCCCTATACATCCAGCTGAATGACGGAATAACAGGTCAAGATCATGCGTTGTATCTCCCCATACGAGTGTGGTGTGAGTTCAGGTTAAGTAGATTCTATTCCATTTCATCATATGATATACCAATACACTTTTCACATTATGCCAGCAATAGAACGCCAAATAAGCAAAAGCTAGCAACCTCCAAACTCCAGACTTAATTAGTACTCACTCCTCCATCACCTCATCCTCCGTCTTTCCCGTTGGCACTTTGGTAAGAACATCAAAAGCTCCAGTGCCCACCTTACTCATCCTTCCTATCACAATCCTACTACTTGGATTGGCCAGGTCATCCCAATCACACTCCGCGACTGCATCTGCCAAGAAACCAACAGTCGTCTCGAAACTCATCTTCATGAAAGGGCTGACACTACCCTTCATTCCATTTCGGTTAAATGGACTGAAACCACCACCTCTGGTCATGTAATCTGCAATCAGATTTAAATGACGCATGTCCACCTGGATGGCGTGACCGGCGAAAACGCTGTGCAATTCCTGGACGATGGTTGATCGACAGGCCTCCACACCATAATTCTCGAGCATTGCTGCGATGTCATTGGTCGATATCGTGTTGGGATTGATAAATGCGGCATAGTTTTGCATTGCCTTGAGGTTGACACCTTCGGTGTGAACAACTGGTACCTTAACAGTTCTTCCTGTTTTGGGGTCCTTGACTTCGTTATCCCCATCATAGGTACATGATCCAATGCCCGCGATATGTTGGATGAGGCAGGATCGAAGAGCTTCTTCAACGATGGAAAGCATAAGAACCTTAGGAACATCAGCATCATACTCGAGGCTAATATCACACCATTCTGCGTTCTCTTGGTCGAAGCGGAAGCGAGTAATATCTTGGCAGCGCTTCATTACTTGAGCTTCGAGTTCCTCCGTGGCAGCGTTCATCTTGCGCTTTCTACGTTCTCCATTGTCATCATTTTCCTCATCTTCGTCATCACTTTGTGGTGCACGTGGACTGCCTCCAATGCCTTCATCCTCCATGTCTTCGACGTCTTCCGGCTCAGCATTTTGTGCCTGGACCGCGTCATCCTCGTCATCGTTGGCGGCGTAACTGACCGCCTCTGCACGATTCGCTTTCTGCTTGTCATTGGTTGCATCATCTTCACCATCTTCATCATCGTCATCTTCGCCCAATTCTCTCTCAGCATCCGGTCTAGCTTCTTCTATCGTACCAACAGATTTACCAATTTCCGGTACTGCAGCAGTATTTGCACCTGCTTTTCCCGCCTTTTCAACCTTCTTCTTTCCAAGAGCCTTGCGTGTAAGAGATTGAAGTTTCTGTGTAAATCTTCGCTGCAGTGTAAAAATGACATCATTGATGTCAATGGCGTAAGTCTCACAGTATTCCTTCGAAGGGAAGAGCTTAATATGGATGTCGTATATCTTGGCTTGTTGGAAAGCTACCCCACGTCCAATTCGCTCCTTGACCGAAGCCCAATCTAACACCTCAGCCAGAGACAGAATGCTTATGGACTTGGCAAACTTTTCACATTCGTCTGGAGTTAGCTCCTCGTTGAGAGTCAATGTCATTGATGGCGTTGAGATATGATTACTTGCCGTCATGACAATTTCACGAAGACGGGGAATACCGAGCGTGACGTTCTTGGTAGAGTGACCGGCCAAATGGAAAGTATTGAGCGTCATTTGTGTGGAAGGTTCACCCACAGATTGTCCAGCAACAATACCGACAGCTTCACCAGGCTCAACGACAGATTTCAAGTATTTGGCAACAAGAACAGGCTCCAAGGCCTTTCTTGGTCCGACACCATCTGGATGTTCTTTGTCCTTAACCAGACCATCCGGATTCGTCTTCATGTAGTTCGTTAAAGTCTCGAAATATTTCTCTGACGTTGCATATCCATATTTACCGGGATTGTATTCGGAAAGAACAGGATCTGGACCGTTTAGATCATTTGCTTTCACATGTTTCAAGGCTTTCTTCATCCGTTTGATGATGATTTCCTTTTCTTCAAAGATTGTATCATAGCGTGGGTCGCCATAGTTTAATTGAGAAAGCTCCGACATGAGATTCTGCAATAAGAACTTGAAATCGGTCAAATGCTTTTGCTTCGTCACATCCAGTCCATCTTCACCATAGATGAATTGAATCATGGACCCATCAGAATCCCGCACAGACGTATCATACTCAACCTTAAGACCCTCCATACCCTTGATCAGACATCTTTGTAGATACCCGGATCTTGAAGTCTTGACTGCAGTATCAATCAAACCTTCTCTACCAGCCATTGCGTGGAAGTAGTATTCTTGTGGTCGTATTCCAGTCAAGAAACGATTGACAATGTAACCTCCTGCTCTGACATGCGTCTCGAATGGCTTAAAGCATGGAAGTGATTTTCCGCTTACCATCAACGGCACCCTACGTCCTTCCAAGACTTGTTGTCCCAAGTTACAGGAAATGAGATTGGCGTTGACCGCAGAACCCTTGGCGCCAGAAACTGTCATGTTCTGCATTTGATTGTGCGGAAATTGCTTGACCAAGCCTTGGGGAAGGCATGCATTAGTGATCGCGGTGGAAAGCTTTCCAGCACGAGCGTTCATCAACGCATCGAGACCTGCCTGCTTGCTGTCATCTCTCATAACATCCTCCAACCTATTGAGCAGCTCTTGATCGGTATCGGTAGGCTTTTGGTCTTCAAGAGACACATACTTAGCAGCAACCTCAAGACCAATCTTACCAGCATCCATCAGAGTTTCTGTACGTATCTTTTCGCCTTCGGGAGTAAGCCTCAAATCATCCATTCCGCAAGTGAATGCCCTCATGTGGAGGTACTTCGTCAATAAACGACCTAGAATACTGAGAAGCTTTCCAGCAGTGGCAGGACCGTAAACCTCATGAACAGAGTGAATGAGACCACCACCAGCAGGACCAATCTGTGCCTTGTCCAAAATTCCAGTGATGAATTCACCGCCTTTGAAAAGAACAACACCTTCCTCTGAATCCGCACCCCATCGATCAGCCGGAGTTTGTGTTTTTCCTGTGAGAGATATCGGAGCGCAGTTGATGGGCGTGATGTTTTTCAATATCGTTGTAATTACCTGCTTTCCTGTCCATCGTGCGACTGGTTTAATGATCGCAGGGGCAACAGTCTGTATGCGCTCGCCAGAAATATGTCCACTTTCTGGGCGAATACAATTATAGATCAGTTGTTGATAAGTAGCTCGATCAAAGTATGTATCTTTGTTACACATCCAAACGGATACGGAAATGTGATCTTGAATCAAACCTCTCAATGGTTTACCGGCGGTAGCACTCAAATATTGGTGATCGGTGTCGGCAATCTGTAGCGCTTCTGCTCGGGCAACCTCAGTTTGTGGAAAATGCATGTTCATTTCGTCTCCATCGAAATCTGCATTATAGGTATTACAGTTGGCGTAGTGCATCCGAATGGTCTTCTCCCCTGGAAGTACTCTAGCTCTGTGACCCATGATCGAAGGCTTGTGCAAGGTTGGTTGACGGTTCATGAGCACAACATCTCCGTTAGTAAGATGTCGATAGACCTTCTTATTGCGAGCACCGCTGGCTCCGTTACTAGAGGATGCAAGCAATTGGTTCGCCAGTGCCATTCTTTCATCCTGTGTCTTCGAACGTAGATTGATGACTTGACCATTCTCGTTCTCGATCGCAGCAGCACCAGGCCACTTATCGACACCGTTGATGACCGCTTGTTGCATTTCCTTGAAGTTATGGCTCGTGACAGGTTCAGGGTATGTGAGCTTCTTGGCGAAAACGGGAGGAACACCAATTTCGTTCGTTTCGATATTTGGGTCTGGAGAAATGACGGAGCGAGCAGCAAAGTTAACACGTTTTCCCATCATGTTCTTTCTGAAAAGACCCTCCTTTTTCTCGAGCTTTTGCTTGATACCATCCTCGTTCTTCTTTCCGGCTGCACCTTGGATGGGATTTCGATCTCTGTCAATCAAGGAATTGACAGCATCTTGCATAGAGCAACATGCTTCTTGAAGATCAAAAAAATCTCTCTTTCTCAAGGTTGCACTTTGCGAGGGCCTGTCCGGATTCTGGATATCGAGATAGATTTGGTTCACAGTATCAGCACTTTTCAGAATCTGCTTGTAGAGGGAATTTTGTTGAGCCTCGGAAATCTCGCCATCACCGGTCTTCGCTTCCGGGCGATATCTATTCGGAGGGACGAGTAAAGTTTGTAGGAAAAACATATCTGCCTTAACCACAGATGGCTTCTTGACGGATGACCGAGAGTTGTAAACAAGGGACAAGATTTCTTGCTCTTTCTCAAACAACAATGTTAAAGAGGCTTTGACCTCCATGGCATCAACATACCGCTGTGGCAGCGGTGCGACTCGAGGTTTGGAGCTTGAGGTGGCGGGGCCATCCATGACCACATCTCCATCGACATCAAGGGATTCGCCTTCGCCTTCGTCTTCGTCTTTATTTGATTCCAGGTCGATGTCTGCGATGCCTTCATCGCCATCACGGTCTTTCTTCTCGCCATGAACCAATTGCACGGCATTCACAGCTCGATAGCTGCCTTGGGCCATCTTGGCCTTATCTTTGACGCTCAAGGACTTCTCGAAAATCTTCACATAGCGATCCTTGCGGTAAGTGGGCGATATACCTTGACAGTTTCCACATAATCTCCCTGCAGTTATGGCCTTCATAAAGCTCTTGACCACAACTCTGCGTGCTTCTGCCACACCTTCATGCTTTTCCCTTCTCCATTCCCATCCAGAAGCCTTGGCGGCCTTGAGTTCTTTTTTGACAAATGCAAGCCGCCTTCGGATGACACTATCAACAGGAGTCTCCTCGTCGGAATCACTAGCAGGTTCTTCCCCTTCCTTCGGTTGAGCGACCTCGATATTATCAATCTCCTCAGCAGCGCTTAGCAGACCCTGTTGAATCAGGCGCAACTTGCAAACATATCGATTGACCTCCTTGCGCGACATCTTGAACTGGTGACAGTATTTGCATTTTGATCGCAACAATCGCAGAACCTGGTCCATGAAAGTAGGGTGGTATACGGGGGCGGGTAAGTCGATATGGCCTGCGTGACCCGGGCAGGAAAACGAACTGAGATTACATGTTGTACAGCTATTTAATGTTAGCATTGAAGCGATTCAGCGGACGGTCTCTTACTTATTATCACCCCAAGCACCTAGTGCTGGATCATAAAGACCTCCTGGGACTGGGTGAAGGAGACTGTCAAATGTAACAGGATTCTCTATCCTCTTCACAGAGAGAGATTTGATCTCAGCCGTAGAAAGGAATGCAAATTCAACGCTCTCAATGGCTGACGGAACTGGCTGGGAGATATTCATTATGATTGACAATTAACACTAAAGCAGAAATACTGCCATAGGTTGTCTGATTAAACTGGAATTTTGCGATTCCACGGCTTCAGAGTAAATACAAGAAAAAGTTCCTTTCGCCGGAGAAACTTTTTTTTTTTGAGCCGACCGGCCATTGATAAGAAAGTGCGATAACCCCATTTGATGATCACGTGCACAACAGTTCGAGGTTTTTGGTCCAGCCAGGCATAGTTCGCGCGTGAGCATTTAACAATTAATGATACTGCTAGATCAACAAGCGAAAGGTGCGCCATCATCTAATTTCTACAACACAAACCTGGGAGGTGGATATCTGCGACAATATGGATCGAGGTAAAGCTTCTCCAATTCTGGCCCCTCGACATGATTCCTCCAGCCGTGTTGGCAAGCCAGAGTCCGCTGCCGAGAAGCTCGCATCATTGAAAGCTAGAGTCGCAGCTGCGGTCGGCGGCAGTAAGGCAAAGGGTGGATTGAATGCCGGTTTACATCCTATGCTTGCAAAGGGAGGTTTGAATGTAGATCTCCATCCAGCACTGCAAGACCTTGGACAATACAAACCCTCAAAATCAACCGCGCCCAAATTCGCAACCAGCATCGGAAATGCTCGTCCTCAACAAGAAAAAGCGGCTGCGAAGCCTAGGAAACAACTCGATATTTTGGGGCCCTCTACGGAAGAGATTCGCAATAATCCATATTTTGACATGAGCCTAGGTGGGCAAACAGCGACTCCGAAAAATAGACATTCAAGACAGCTAGTTTTTAATCAGAAGGGTAAATATATACAGCAAGCGAATGCACTTCGGAGACAAGCCGCCCTAGAGGCTATGAAAAAGCGCATCGCCGAGTCGTCGCGCAAGATTGGTATTGACGAGGATATCGATACCGAGAAGAAATTCCTTGTGGAAGCACCACCTGAAATCGAATGGTGGGATGAGGGCTTGGTGGATGGCAAGAACTATGATGATATTTCGAGTCCAAAGACACTCAAAATCGGCACCCCAGACTCCATTATTACAGAATATGTTCAGCACCCGGTTCTCCTCGGACCTCCCCAAGAAAAGAATGCGCCTGCGCCTAAACCTATGTTTTTGACTGCAAAAGAGCAAGCTAAATTACGGAGGCAGCGTCGGATGGCCGAACTCAAGGAACAGCAAGCAAAGATCAGACTAGGATTAGAACCCGCACCGCCTCCAAAGGTCAAGAAGGGAAATCTTATGCGTGTATTAGGGGAAGAAGCTGTCAAGGATCCAACTGCAGTCGAAGCTCGTGTCAACCGAGAAATTGCAGATCGTCACCAGAAGCATGTCGAGACGAATCAGGAACGAAAGTTAACAAAAGAACAGAGACACGAGAAATTAGCTGCCAACCAGGAGAAAGACGCTCAAAAGGGTATTCATGCTTTGGTGTTTAAGATTGACAACCTTGCGAACGGTAGTCACAGATTTAAAATAGCTAAAAACGCAGAACAGCATGCTCTCACGGGCATCTGTATTTTGCATCCGAGATTTAACTTGGTGATTGTCGAAGGCGGCGAGCACAGTATCCGGCAATACAAAAAACTTATGATGCAACGAATAGACTGGACCGAGAACTCGCCCACGCGAATTAAGGATGGTACAAAGGCAGACGCATTACAGGATTGGTTAAAGGCAGAAGATGAGAAGGGAGAGCTAAAAGATATGACTTTGAACAGATGCCAACTGGTATGGGAAGGAGAGCAGAAGTCTAGGGCTTTCAGGAAGTGGCAAAGTAAAGTGTGTGAGACAGATAGTGCAGCTCGAGATGCTTTGACAAGGTCAAAGATGGACAGCTTTTGGACCGTGGCGAAGAGCATGAATTAGAACAAAATCCCAAGCGATACGGTGGTTATATCTTAGTTGTTATGACCCTGCCCCAAAATAGATACCAGTTGAACCGATTTATTTTTCTTTTCCAGATCGCTGCTATCTTACAATTTGATAATTATCCCCCCGTAGACGTAAATAAGTAACCAACCATCAAAATCCTGTCTATGCATCTAACTCCATCATTGCCTCAATTTCATCATCATCCATGCCATATTCATCCTCTCTAACTGTCTGTTCATTACCTTGCTTGATGCCATCCATTGGGTCATCATTTCCGCCGCCTCTCAAAGCTTTAAGCGTTTCCTCATACTGCTTCTCCTTAAACCTCTCTAAATCCTGCACGCTCCATGTACTAATGCCCTCTTGATCCTTAGCTTTGAACGGCTGTGCCATGTTCCGTAAAAACTTCTTCGCGGCTCCTACCGCCATATCCGTACTCAGATTGACTTCACTGTCAAGGATCGCCTGGTTGATCCATTTTGGCAATTGTGCTCGTTTCTTCAAGAAACGACGATCGGCCAACACCATGATTCCGTAGTCGTCTTTTCCTCTAAGTACGCGACCCAAGCATTGAGCTGCATGTCTCATGGCATCGAACGATAGGAAATCATTCTCTCTAATTCGATATGTTTCACGAAGAAACTCTAGCCGCGCTTTCAGGATACGAGATTCCGTGTATTGAAACGGTACTCCAATACATATCACAGTGCGTCCGTACTGATGGTCAAAATCGATACCCTCACTGACCTTTCCACGGGCAACACAAAGAAGAATAGCACCTCTTCCATTACAGCATGCCGTACGATAGGTTTCTAATGCCAGAGAGGTTTCTTGTGCATCAGGTGTCTCGACTAGAATAAGCTTGTATTTCCAGACCTCGTCTAGAATACCCATTCCTTGCCACATACTAATGATCGACTCCATATACAGGTAAGATGGAAAGAAGACGACCATACCGTCTGGAGTCAGCTTAGACATTTCCGTTAGTAGATTGCCGTAATTACGGACAACCGCAGGCTCGTTTCTAACTTGGAACCCCGAGGAAATCGCAACCTGGTCAGATCCTCTCGTGACAATCATGGGTAAAAACGAACGACGAGCAAGGGTCATGGGATAGGACTCTTGAACAACACATTCGAAGTCCAGCATTTTAGGATACATTTCTAGTGGAGAAATGGTACCTGATGTAATGATCACAGAACTGAAACGTTCGAAGACGGGCTTTATTGCTATTGCTGCATCGAGACATGTGAAGTGAAGGACAGGATTTGGGACCTCGGCGGTGTCAGATTCATAAGGCTCAAGGATAAGAAGAAATCCCTTTTCGTATGTCGCTACTAAAGTGGCAAATGTCGCTACCTCCTGAAGTGGCTGATAATCTTCAATATTGGTGAGTTCTAAAGTCCGCACAAGCGATGTAAGACGTTCTGCACAAAACCTCAGAGGCTTCTTTTCGATAAACGTGTGCTCCCGCAGGTGAGCCAAGAATGATGCAGGTGTCTCAGATATGACTTGTCGGACTTTCATTCTTGTCTTCTTGGGGTTAGCTATTGGCCCTTCCTCATGGCCGAACTTTACACACCTTGAGGTATTCAATAAATCGTTTCAGAAAAGTTACAAAATGTTCAGCTCTTCTAATGTTCCCAGGAACGGCTTCTTTGAGGAGATCATCTGGCAAAGCTAAATGAATGTGAGCAACTAGGTATTTTTTGGGATGAGATATGATGCAAACAAACCAGGGTTTGACATAAAAGCATCCTCCGCTCGAGCTTCGTCAGCACCACGGAGTCCCTCGACCAACTTGGCATACTCATCTTTGAGCTTTTCGGAATCGCTATCCCTCAAATCCGAAATCTTGTTCTCGAGGTTGATTGCTCCACGAGTGGCCTTGCGAAGCGAATCATCCGTGATATCGGTACTTAAGGATTCGATGCATACGTTATCAATATTGTGCGCTTCATCAAAAACGACAATGCAATCTTTAGACAGCTCTTTAGAAACTCTCTCGGCAATCTTAGGGTCGAGTAAATAATGGTACGAGTAAATGATCACATTGCAGAAAGACATCTAATCACATTAGTTGCTGAAGTTGCAAGGACATCGCCACTCACCATTCGTCTGGAGGTAAAGTATGGGCATTGCTTATGGTCTTCCCCATATCTCATGATACCATCTAAAGTCCATACTCCATTTGGTATTAGATTATGCGGCTCGAGGAGATCCAAATTCTATGCTCGTCAATGTAATGCTGACCAATGCGGCAGCGAAGGTACCTACCTCATGGTAAACGCACACAGGAACATCCTCTCCCCTCTCCTTCTTCTCCTTCACAAAACCAGCAGTCAAACTTCGGCAGCGAGCATCCACCACCGCGCCACTCTTCTCCCGCTTCACAGAAGGATGAAGGCATAAATTCTTACGACTGGTCAACCCCAATCCACGGAAATCCTCCTGGTGCCCAAGTTGTTCCGCCCTGTATTTCATAAGAGCTTTTAATTCCGCCAAGGCTTTTTCAATCTCGGACATGGTACCTAAATACCTGTTAGCATGATGACTTGTTCATCTTCAGGTCGGGTTTCATCACGTGAGCAGTAAATGAGTTTGCGGTGCTCTGGATAGTATTGTTGGTATGCAACGATCAAGGACAATAGCGAGATAGTTTTGCCGGTGCCTGAAGGCATCTCCAAGACACAATGGCCGCCGGCATCAAGCGTTCCTGGGAATTATAATCAGCAATGAGGGCCCGACGGGGAGTAGGTGAGGAACAAATACTTTTGAGATCACACATATAGCTAAGCGCAAATCGTAGGTTAGCATGAAAGGTTCTTTGTGTAAGCTACGGACCAGCGAAGTTAGGCAACGTACGCATATTGTTCTACATAATAATTAGAAATTTGCATTCAGCATCCAAATCATCATGAGCCAGTGAGTACCTACCTGGATATATCCTAGGATATGGAAAGAGCACTGGCAAATCACTAGCGCCTCCATCAGTTCAAGTAATTATTTCTTTGCTATGCTATGCTATGGGATTCATGAAAACGTACTCAATATTGAACTTCATCTTTGAAGAGGCAGCACTGCTGGTGCTGTTGATGTTGCTGATCGAAAATGGTTGTTTGTAGATTCGAGGTTGAAGTAAAATTGTCGTAGGGGTCAAAAGCGGCACCGGTATCCGTACTGCAGTCAGCTTCAGGCCTTTTGGGAAAGGAGTGTACCTAGAGATACCTATTATATAGTGTACCTGTATATTGTATATATCGCATTTAAACTCGACGCGATGTTTATTATGTCCGTATTCTTGATTCTTGGACTCTGTACATGTTGGTTCTTGAGAAATTTAAATTATTGCAATGTGAAAAGAGATGAGGTATATCTAGTAATTAATTATCCATTCTTTCATTCTCTACTCGAGTAACAATCAACCGTGGCAGTTCCCCACATCTGATTTAACTCACCCACCTCAATACCTAGTACGCATACGAGTATTCAGCAAGATTTTTCACCCAAGATTACATTTTTACATTGTCTTACAGTTTGGATATTGTATTTTGAATACAAGATTCTGTGTGATATTCTCTCATTTCTCAGTTACTTACATCACGCACAGTTCATGATGGTGTAACATGTGCTTGTTTGAATCTATATTCCACGACTCAAAGCACCTTGAATATGTGAATACATATAGGATTTTGAAATAATCGATGGAGAATCAAGCCCGCAGAAGCATCCAAAAGCCATCACGTAACATTCAAACTAAGATTAGTGGATAATTGATTCGGAGTAGGGCACCTGCAATGACATGAAACACAAATATCACTGCCTATCAGCTCCGCAAATGTCAGTTGCTTTTCAGTGTCGAATGTATGCTCATATAAAGTAAGTGCCATTCAGATGAGAACTTGGAAAGATAACCTGATATGTCTGGTGTTCCAGGGTGATTTACTATAAACAAATCCGTTATGGTAGGCTAATGAAGTATATGACTTTGAGCATTAAGGAAAGTCGACATTCGCATATGCATCAGATTCCGAATCTCCTCGTGATTCTTATGTCCAGCCAGACTGGAAACCTTCTTGGAGAGACTCGTATTTTCCAACTCTCAGAAGACAAAACATCGAATAACGGTTCATCTTGTTATCTGATGCATGAAGAGTCCATCTCTATCATGGATATAGAAGATGAAGAATGATATCCATCTTCTCTATTAAGAGTCGGATGCATACTGCGCTTTTCCCAAATAGTGAATGTCTTATAAGAAGGTTAGTGAAGTATGAACTGGAAAGGCTAAGCAATGCTCTGACGAGATAGCATGAGGAGCAAAAGGAACAATTCCATGCTTCTCTTCCTCAAGATGTATCACAAATGGTATCTGGAGCAAGCAATGCATCTATTGCTGTTCTGATTGATCAGCAGATCGATGAAAGGAAAATGCCAATGGCTTAATGTAGAAATGAAGGATAGAATTAACTCCTGAAGATACTTGAGTCACGTCACAGTGAACGAAATAAGAATGTATCTTTAAAAGATTGATAACGAATCGTAATTGTTATCTGTTGTCATTAGCTCAGCGCACCATCGCTGGCTGAATAATGTACAGCCTGTAAGAACGCAGGTCCCCCCATAAAATGAAATTGAACTCCATGCCGTAAAACCCTTGTAAGATACCCCCAAAGCATTATCATCCACCCGATCCATCGCCATTGTCAATCGACCTAAAGCCGAAGCGCTTTCAAGCTGAAGACATCGAGAAGTCAAAAAAGAAACCCAAATTTAACCACGCTCGCCACGGAGACGACGGGCGAGTTGGATGTCCTTAGATTGGATGGTGACACGCTTGGCGTGGATGGCACACAAGTTGGTGTCTTCGAAGAGGGAAACGAGGTAGGCCTCGACGGACTCTTGGAGAGCACCAATAGCGGAAGATTGGAAACGGAGGTCGGACTTGAAGTCTTGGGCGATTTCACGAACAAGACGTTGGAAAGGAAGCTTTCGGATCAAGAGCTCGGTCGACTTTTGGTAACGACGGATCTCACGGAGAGCGACAGTTCCTGGCTTATATCTTGGAAGAGTCAGCAATTGTTGAAGCAAAAAAGAAAGTGAGAAATTACCTGTGGGGCTTCTTGACACCTCCAGTAGAAGGAGCACTCTTACGGGCAGCCTTGGAAGCAAGTTGCTTTCTTGGTGCCTTACCACCAGTAGATTTACCTATAGAGTATTAGCAACGATGATCAAGCTGTGTTGTGTTGTGGTGGGGTAAAGGTCGCGTCGTTGGAAAATAGCTACCGGTCGCAATGTTTTGCGACCGAACGACGTGACGAGGTATTGATTGTAACGAAATAGTACAGATGGAAAAAATAACTTACGGGCAGTTTGCTTGGTACGAGCCATTGTTGATAATTTCTATTGATGATTTAATGGAATTGTAATGTGGTTGTTGTGGATTGATGAAATTATTGAAGTGGATATGGAAGTTGTGGTTGTATGATGTAGAAGGAAAGAGATTGAAATGGGCGAAGGCGATTATTTGTATCCGAAAGTACGCTAGCGAGTGATTGATTTGGCTGTGCTTTGGAAAAAAAATACGCTAGTGTAATCTATGGGAAAGAGGAAGTTTTGAGTTGTTCAAATCGCTCGAAAAAGTGAACTTTTGTTTTCAAAGTTAACCGACCAATCAGAATTCATTTCACATTTTAAGAGGGCCACAAAGTGGATATTTTTCCAAACAAGGATCAGCAATCACACATGCAACTACCCAGCCAAGCCCAACCTGATTCGGAGAAGAAAGTTTGGAAAATACTGGGGAAATAATAATAAAAAATTAGAGAATATATATTTGGATTTAGAATTTAGATATTAAAGTAAAAGGGAAGTGACCTGGTAATACTACAGTCCTAGCTGGATGCGGTACATTCTTCTACTTATCGTTCATTGATGAAGAATAATAATAATAATAATATAATTTTATTGATGAATGATTTTCGAAGGCTACTTGGTACAGTATCATTCTAGCTTTTGATCCATCCTAGGCTGAGATGAGCTGCTGAAAGGAACATGTAAAATAACACTCTACCTACCTACCTACCTACCTAGATACCTAGTGCCTATAATACCTGATGAATACTCTACCTGGCTATAAACAAGGTCTACTACAATATAACCCTTTTTCCAGTCCATATCCCCAGTTCAACTTGTGTCTAGCACAGTAGCACCTCCTCCCTCTATCCTGCAGCCTTGTTTTCTTTTCCTTCGCCCTTATCAAATTATTATATTAATCGGTCGTTCCTACTTTTCCTCGTTTGACCAATCATAATTTGATATTGTGCTTACCAATCTGGGTGGACTCGTGTTGATTTTAATTCCGATTAGTATTAGCGTCTTTTGGTTTTAGCGTGGTGATGCGGAAGGGCCGTTAGTGCATCTCTTGATAAGAGCTACAGAACTTCTTCCCAAATATTGACTCTTATTATCAAAGTTACTCTATTCTCTACAACACTGTAACAAGACTTCCAAAAACAAATACCAATATCCCCAAACGCAATCTTCTTTAATAACCCACATTCATCATGACTGGACGTAAGTATCCTCTTCCCCACCCTCTGCCTTACCTCTCACCGTCATTCAGTTGGATCCATGCCTTCTACATCTCGTCGCGTCCAATTTACTAACGCGTCTTCTTTACAGGCGGAAAGGGTGGCAAGGGTCTCGGAAAGGGTGGTGCTAAGCGTCATCGCAAGATTTTGAGAGACAACATCCAAGGCATAACTAAGCCAGCTATCAGACGTCTCGCCCGTCGTGGTGGTGTCAAGCGTATCTCGGCTAGTAAGTTACCACTTCTCGCACCTCTCATAACGCGTCTAACCTCCTCACTTAGTGATCTACGAGGAAACCCGTGGTGTTCTGAAGACCTTCTTGGAGGGTGTCATCCGCGACGCAGTCACCTACACTGAGCACGCCAAGAGAAAGACGGTTACATCCCTCGACGTTGTTTACGCACTCAAGCGCCAAGGACGTACTCTCTACGGTTTCGGTGGTTAAATGGTTGCATGTTTACGGTTCTTTTCTACGTCTATTATGAATTTTCTTCCTCGACTTGTTGTGTCGGAAGATGGGTGTGTTACGGGAATGGGTCTTTGCTTTCAGGTGTTTATTGTATCATAAGGATATTGGGGTATTCCGGCATGGTTGGTCCATGAGATAATCAAAACCATCAACACAAACAATTCTTCATCTTCATAATCTACTGTTATCCTCTTGCTTTGCATTGAACGCGTCTCTTAAATGTTGTTGTCTAGCGCCCCATTTGGCTAACGCGATATCCTTGGTGGTGCCAATTTTCTTCCTTTCTCACATGTCCCGTGTCACCGCCTTCAATTTCTGTCCACGACTCCATTCCAGACTTCATTGTCATCTTTACATACCTAGATGACAGCTGATGTTCTTGGTGAAGCAAATTCTACCCAGTTACAAAAGTCTACAAAGGTCCCGGTACAATGTGTAATCTCGTTGATGTTCTCAGACTTCTATTTAGAGGAATGATTCTCTAACAGTCTATGTTTCTCATCTGGGTTCTTTGAATAACAGCGTGTGCCCATGGTATTTTCATTTTTAGATATCAATACCACATCCTTACTACGTTAATCCTCCATCCTTCATTAACTTTTGTATGTGTATCACCATTCTCATTCCGTTCTTATCACCAACACGATGCCTGATCTCGATGAACATCACCTGGCGATAAATGTGACTTTTATCCGTGGTCATAACCACTCAGATTGATGCTTCAGTATGTATATCTACCACAAGCCAAAACTTGACCTTCTAGTCCAGCCATATGTGCCTGTTCCTTTAAGCTTGAGTTGCTATCCTTCGCACACAATTTCTGTTTCGTGCTTGTAATAAGGTGCTACCTAGGGATGCACTAAGGTAGAACAACTTCATACTGTTTTCTATTCTTGACGGACATCAAGCCAATATCTCGATATAAATGGTATTGTGATTTTAGGTATGATCTCTTTTTTTTGAGCTTATAAATCATTATTGATACCTTGGAAAATATCTAGATGATGATTAAAGGTATTCTGATCTACTTTCTAATGAATCTTAGTAGGATCTTAGAGGCTATAAGGCTGACATCTGATTTAAATTTAAATATAAATGATGATATATTATATTTATCTCAATATATTAATTCGGATATATTTAAATCAATTATTGTGACCAAAAGGGTGTTTATAGACCAGCAATTGTATTTAACTTAGAATCTACAGGTGAAGAGCACCTGTAGATGGGGATAGCTACTCTATATATACACAAATGAATGGCCTAGCCGCAATGGCTAGGCAAAAAGAAGTCATATTTATTCCTCCAATGATCTTACTTTACCGATAACCATTGATACCTAGTACTTGTCCGGATCTGATCCTCAGGTCACCTAAATCGCATACTAATCTCGAGTAATCGTATCATGTGTGGACATGGTTAATGTACCTGAGGTTTCTTATATAATAAAGGTGGGAGGAAAGCAGGGATTTCCGTCACAATTATAATTAGTATTTCTAATCAATAAGTCTAGTTAGTACTCTCTTTTTGGACTACTTCTCTTTTGAATTATTTTTTGAAAAAAGAAATCATTATTTTCATTTATTAATAACTTTATAAAAAACAAATATAATTTGATTAGATTTGTATTATATATTTATTATATAATTATAAATATATTTTGAAAATTTTATATTTTTTGTAATTGATTTCAATAAGATTTATAAATTCAAAAAAAATAATTTATTTATACCAGGTGTAACGATACTGTACTGGAGGCAGAGGCTGCCTAAGGTTTCATCGGGCTGGTAGTTGTGGGTTAATGTTACGAGGTTTGCCGTCTAGATCACGTGGAAGTGCTCTAGGCTCTCGAGGTGGTTTATAACTAGGCGTCAAGCAGGGACTTAAGTAATGACAATAATGATATGCAATTCGTAACTAATAGTAGGATATACTAAATGATTGATCTTGAGCACGAAGCTCTATACAAAGGAAATCCATCTTGATTATATAGTCCTTCATGCTTCCATGATTACTAGTGATCCTTCATGATCATTAGTGATCATCTATATCGTGATCCTTAGTGATCCCTAATGATCATTACTGATCATTTGTGATCACGTGCCTTGGTAGTTGTGTAGCCCGTCGTAACAGTTAAGGCTTTATCACTGGTATTCACTTGGAAGTGAATTCGTTACTAGATCAAGTAGAATGTAAGTAAACTAATTGATAACTAAGTTGAGCACGAAGCTCCTATACTATGAAAATAATGAATGTTTATATACTGGTCCTTTCCAGGAGCATAGGCTCCTCCAGGCTCCTGCAGGCTCCATCACGTGATCCCTACTTGTCCGACGTGATGGTGAATCGTGACAGTTTTAGTGTTGGCAAGCTGATAATAAGATTTATATACAAGTTTAAAAAATCTTTAAAATTTTGAGTAATTTTTTATGAAAATAATTAAAAATAGACTATATGATTTTTTTAAAGGTTTTAAATCAAAATTTATCAAATAAATTGAATTATTTATAAAAATGATTTATAAATAGTTATTTAATCAAAACATTAAAATTTTTAAATTTTATAAAGTTTAAAAAATATTAATAAATGTTAAAAGGAATAGAAGTTACCGGTACAGGACACGTGTCGTGATTAGTAATACGGTTACCTAAACAGGCTAGA